TCTGCCGTTCCAAATCTATCGCCTCAGATGGCCACATCAAGATAATAGCATCATGAAATAACAAGCGCAAACATTCAGACAATTCCAAGGCCAAGAGGAAGAGACACTGGCCTCTAGACCAGTGAGGCGTGGTTGCGTCCCAATGAAAGCCTAAATTTTGTACTGGACCCATGTCCAAGTAATTTACATCTGTCGTAAATGGCCAGCTCGTTACTCGAGACTAGCGTCAGGCGTTGGGTCTGCATTCGGTCTGATCATCACGTGGCCATAGCGGAACCTCGTCTGAAATTAGTCTTGTTACATCGTCCTCGTCCGACTGAAACACATAAGTTTCTCGCGAAGTTGATAGGCAATAACACGACGAAACGGTGCGGTCATTATATCAAAAGAAGGCTGTGAGGCATTTTAATATTGCCCTTCTGTGACCAGTAGGAAAATGGCAACCTCGATGAAGAATGCAAAGATTTCAAACGAGGTGTCATTTGCAGTAGGGAGGGGGGGATGACTCGTGAGCCCTCAGACCACGAAAAAAACAGGCTAAGAATGACTATGAATTGCAACCCATCATCCTCACTCGTGCAGTCAACAACAGCTACGGGCGGGGCAAAGAATTTTGGCTTGAGGAGGAAATCAGACAACCGTAAATGGTGAATGGAAAGTAGTGTTCCGAAGTGCGCGACAGCTGTCCGTTGAGCATGGGTCTCGATCCTGAGCAATATCCATGCGGTGTATCGTAATAACTTCAAATGGAGTTCATACTTCAGCTATGAGTTACTACTTCCACTGCTGCAATCGCTGAAAATTGTTTTAATACTCAGAGAATGCATAATACTTCGAAGCAAGTTCCCAGAAAAACATATGAGATAACAATCGAAGTCGAAAGACTGCTTATGTTGGCGAGGACTTACCTGTCGTGACACCGGGAATTACTGTTACTGCGTAGCTGGGGACAGCAGATGCTGGCGATGTACTAAGAATGAGGTCCATGATTGAAGCAGTGCTAACAGCAGTGTTTTCGGCGCGAGGTGTTGTCAGAAACGGATTGTACACTGCCGTGGCTGATGCGCCAGATTTTGAAACAGGCGCGGTACCGGTGGGGAATGGTAGAGTTGATTTGATGGCCGCAGGATAGGTCGCCGGAGTCAATCTTCCAGTTGTCGAAGTTCCAGGCGTCGACATGATGCATTCAAGCAGGTTCTCGATCTGTATGCACTGCTGCATTACGGAATTGAACACGTGATTCGTTGGGCAATACTGCAGATGGCCTTGGCCATTGAAGCAAACAAGATATGCTTGCTGACACTGGCCAATTTCATGCGAACCATCGACCAGGTAGTTGCAGCTCGGTACTAAACAGCCCGCAAAAAACTAGCCATCGCTTGGAAAACACGTTAATATGATAATTGACATTTAATGCGACTATCCATACAATAATTGTCCAGTTAAACAGAAGCATTGTTTTCCACCTGATGATTGCAATCATAAGTTGCAAGTACGACAAACTGCTAGAATTGGTGCTCGCATGGCGACATTGTCAAATATTAATTAATTAAATAATATTTCACACAGTTATCTGCAAATTTTGAGTGTCATCAACTTCAAAGTAACGAAAATAATGATACTTTCAAATTTCGCGGATATGCCCATGCTTGCGTCGCCAAACTTCGACGAGGTGCAATAGCCAACTTTAACGAATGGAGCACAGTGACGATTTTCGAATTCGAAGACATAGCCAAGCGGACACAGTCGAAATATTCTTTCTCCTTCTAAGCACTGATAATAGTCCATCTGGCAGTAGCCGGCTGGATAGTCGCCATCTGGGAGAAAAGTACAATTGGGCCCTAAATTAAATTCCGTTTATTCGTAACTATAAACAAGTTTTCCATAGATATTTCCTGCCCGCTTGAAAATACGGTAAAAAATATAACCATTTTTGCACATCACATATGCCATCACTCAGAATCTCTCGAAACACTAATCGTTATGGTGTGAAATAAACTATGGCAGAAGCTGTTCTCGGTGGCTGTCTGTTTGAGAGGAATAAAACAAAACAAACATCCATTTTCATTTTAGACCATTCAAGGTGTGGTTACGAGAGGGTTAACTGGCTGTCAGTGAAAAGAAGGTAGCATTCAATAGATAATTTAGAAGCTAAGAACCTTAAAGTCGAAAGCGTTACGAAAAAGCGCTCATGGCAGCAGCGAAAGCAGTGGCTGACGAGAAAGCTGAGTTCTGGGAAAAATTCGATGAAATGCTGGAGTCGTATTTCGAGCAAAGATGGCAAGAAATGTTATTCTGGCAGACCATCAGCCACCTTCGAGATGGATAGAAGGACAGTCTCAGAGTCCTGAAGAAAACGTCCGGACACCAACCTACCAGAGAAGAGAATAGACTTCAGGGATGACGAGATTACTTTCAAGAACTCATTAATTCAAAGCAGTTGCAAGGAGAGTCTACTGAAAACCAACAGACAACGTTTGTTAGTCTTACAGTATACGAAGTCACAGAAACTGTAAAATCATCAAAAGCGGCAAGACTACTAGGATCGATAAATTTCGCCCTGAAATGCTTAAAGCTTCAGGCGAATAACACATGTAGTGGCTAATATGAGCCTGCCAAGTTGCAATGAGTACCGGGAAAACAGCGGCAGACTGGAGAACTGGGGCATTAGTAACCCTATTCAATGAGTGAAACCATAGGAACCGCTCCAATTACTACTGCATCAACTATTTGAGTCAAATGGGAAACGTCAAGAAGAGCAGCAATACCCCAGATGAGGTCGAAGCGCATATGGCCAGACCTTCGCCTTACACCGAGTTTCTGACAAATCGTACGAGTTCACTCATTCAGTTTACATGCGATGAAAACTCCAGTTACCTGGAGAAGGCCTACGACAAGATTCCGTGCAACAGGCTGTGAGTGTGCCAGAAAACATGCGGGATCGATATTCAGTTGCTGCGAATCCTCCAGTCACTAAAGATTGATAGCAGGTGCTGTGTATGAGGTTGTTACCTCTTCTGTTTGTGTTGTAAAGAGGTAGGATAGTCAGAAGCTTCCAAGATGGCGAGTGTATCGGACTAGTAAATGCAGAGACGCAAATGGTGCTGCTCCAGGCGACCTTGTTTCGTTGGTATCGTCTGAAACTGACCTCCAGCGTTCGCTGGAATGCGTGTGAACGTATCTAAAACGAAAGTCTTTATGCCATCCGTTCTCCTGCCCTCTTCGGGCTGCAGATAAACGGAGAAGCCGTGGAACTAGCGGAGATCACATATCTCGCAGTTGTGTTCACTGGTGATGGAAAAAGGGCAGGAAGAGATCAAAACCAAATTGGAATGGTCAGCGGCGCTCTTCGTTAACTGACCAGCATCGCTGCGACTAAAGCCGAGCTGAGTCTGAAGACTAAGCTCTGTGCGCTAAAGTTCCCCATGCTCACCTAAGGGTCATGAATCTGGGCTACTTCTGAAAAACTTCGATCTGGAGTATAAGCGGCTGAAATAATCTTTCTGAGGCAAATCGCTGGGCTCACGCGTCTCGGCATCGAAGTCCACACCTTCGAGAGTCTTAAAGTACAACTTCATCTCCAGATTGAGAAGTCACAGTTGCGATGGTTTCGGCACGTATTGCGACTGCTTCTGGAAAGAAAAGCGAAGCAACGATTTCTTGCCCTGCCGACCGGCCGGAGACCTCAAAGACGGCCAACAATGACATGGAGCAAGTGTCTCGACGC